CAATCAGGATTACTACTGTTGTCAAGGGCCTACCTGTGTCCTTTGACAAGCAGGGAGAAGTCAGGCACCGCCTGAACTTCTATGTGTTTCCCAACGTCCCCTTTGACCTTGTCTTCTCTATGCAGTGGCTTGGTGCCACCAATCCTAGGATCGACCGGCAGATCCCTAGGGTTGAGCTACCTGACCGGCATGGGGTATATCGCCCTTGCATGCTCGCTGACGAGTACCATCTGGCCAGCAGCTGTTATTGCATGAGTGCTCGCAGATTCCTGCGATTCTCACGCCAGACTGACCACGCCCGTCTGTTCGTGGCTTTTGTCAAACAGACTTACGTGGAGACTGCTCCCTGTCCCTCTCAGATTCAGCAGGTTGTGGATAACTTCTCAAATCTTATGGAGGAGCCGACTGGACTTGTCCATAGGCAGACCAAACATAAGATTGAGATCCTGGCTGGTTCGGTCCCTCCCAAGGGCCGGGTCTACAGGATGTCTCCTGCTGAACTTCAAGAGCTCAAGAAACAGTTAGAGACCCTGACCAGCAAGGGCTGGATCAGGCCCAACACATCTGAGTTTGGGGCACCAGTCCTCTTTGTTCCAAAGGGGAATGGTGAGTTCAGGATGTGCGTGAACTATCGTGGTCTCAACAAAATCACGAGGAAGTCTACAGAGCCCCTTCCTCGCATTGATGATTTGTTGGACATGGTGCAGGGTTGTACCATCTTTAGCAAGATCGATCTCAAATCTGGCTATCACCAGATTGAGATGGCTGAAGGCGATGTCCATAAGACAACCTTCAAAACCAGGTATGGTACTTATGAGTACCTGGTCATGCCATTCGGTCTTTGCAATGCGCCAGACACCTTCCAAATAGAGATGCATCACATACTGAGGCCTTACCTGGACAAGTTCGTAGTTATCTACCTTGATGACATCTTGGTATTCAGTCGTTTTGTCCAGGAGCATGCGCAGCATCTGGCTCTGGTCCTCCAGGCCTTACGCGATAACCAGTATAAGATCAACAGAGAGAAGTCCTCTTTTGGGGTTCCCTCTGTAATCTATCTGGGTCACGTCATTTCTGGAGAGGGGTTGGATCCTGAAGCAACGAAAGTTGCTGCAGTTCAGGACTGGCCGCGACCTGCTAACATTTGTGATGTCCGGTCTTTCTTGGGGCTCGCATCCTACTACAGGAAGTTCATTAAGAACTTCTCTGCGATTGCCACACCCTTGACTGACCTCACAAAGAAAGGCACTTCCTTTCTTTGGACATCAAAATGTCAGGAGGCCTTTACACGTTTCAAGGAGGCCTTGATTCGTGCCCCTGTTTTGAAGTTACCTGACCCTACTCTGCCATTTGTGCTTACTACTGATGCTAGTCAGTATGGTGTAGGGGCGGTACTTCAGCAGGATGATGGGAACGGTCTGCAACCTATTGAGTACATGAGCAAGAAGATCAAAACTAAGAAGTTGCAGGACTCTAACTATGAGAAAGAGTTGTATGCTCTTGTGTCAACGCTCAAGCATTGGAAACACTTTCTCCTGGGCAGACACTTCAAGATCTTTTCAGATCACTCCACCCTTCAGTGGATGAAGTCCCAGGGAGATATGAATGACAAGCTTGCTCGCTATATTCAGTTCATTGACATGTTTGATTCTGAACTGAGACACAAGAAGGGCTGCTACAATCGAGTAGCAGATGCCCTTTCTTGTAGGCCTGACGCTCTGTTTTTGATCTCCTTCACTCACTCATTTGGAAAGAGAACACGTCAGACCATTGCCCAATTGCTGCCCCAGGATGAGATCTTTGGGCCTTGTGAGGAATCTCCATGATGATCCTGCCTCTGAACCAGGATATACTCTGGTTTCAGGCCTGTTGTACACATGCAGCAGAGGTGAGGAGCGCCTGTGCATTCCCCAGGACCGCAAGCTGAGGACACTTCTGATGTCAGAGTGTCATGATGCTCATGGTCACTTTGGGGCCCTCAAATCTTATGCAGCCCTGTCGCAGCGCTTCTTCTGGAAGGAGATGAGGAGTGACATGCTGCACTATGTAGAAACCTGTGAGCTATGCCAAAGGAACATGGTTGTACGTCGACCTTCCCTTGGCTTACTCAAACCACTACATATCCCTGATGCTCCTGCACAGTCAGTATCTATTGATTTTACTGACTTGGGTAGGACTACTCCACGAGGTATGCGTCAGGTCATGGTATGTGTGGATCGGTTCTCCAAATATGCAGAGTTCATCCCCTTACCAACTGAGGCTCGTGTGCCTGCCGTTCAGGCGGCGTTTGCTGACAGGTGGGTTACACATCATGGACCACCCACTTCTATTGTCAATGACAAAGATCCTTGGTTTTGCAGCAATGAATGGCAATCCTACTGCAAGGATTACCTTCATTCACGCCTGGATATGACATCGGGTCGTCATCCTGAAGCCAATGGTCAGGCTGAAGTGATGAACCAGATTCTTTTTCAGCTGCTGCGTTCTGTGATCAGTCCAGATCAGCAGGACTGGGATCTTCATCTGGGTCGTGCACAGCTTGTGTATAACACTTTTGTACACTCCTCTACTGGTTTCACACCCTACCGATTGCACTGCGGTCGTGAACCACGGCAGCCTCTCGATGATATCATCGACAAGGTTACCCCTACGCTGACACCTGGAACTGCATAGTTCACCAGGCGTTACTGTGTGGACATAGAGCGTGCCCGTGCTAACCTGTTGAAAGCCCAAAAGGCTATGATTCAACAGGCCAACAAGCACAGGCGTCCTTCTACTATTCGCACAGGTGACTGGGTGTAGGTACTCAGTTCTGAGTTGTCGCGAGAGGAGGACATTTCACCTAAGCTGCTGCCACGCTACATGGGTCCATGGCAGGTCTTAGATACAGTGGGAGCTGATCCATTTGGACCATCCTATACAGTGGATGTCCCTCTGCATCTACAAACCTACCCTGTCTTTCATGCATCTAAGCTGTTGCCATTCAAGCCAGCTGATGCATTCCCAGACAGGCCCCCACAGTTCGGTCCCCCTATCCCTGGCAAAGGGTATGAGGTCGAATCTGTGGACGATGAGGTAGGTACAGGTCCAGATAAGGAGTACCTTGTGAAGTTCTTGTACCAGCCACACATTGAGGACCGCTGGTTTACTCGCAAGGAACTTCTGAAGACAGCCAAGTCTGTCATCCTCAAATATGAGGCAGCACAGAAGGGAGTATCCCTTCGGCGCTCTGCACGCCTACGCCCCTAGCTCGGAGGTCCTCGCTCCGGGGGAGGGTAGGTCTGCAATGACTTGCTGTTTTCTGGTCGCCTGTAGCCTCTCTCTGTTGAGGCTGTACTATAGGTAGGACAGATTTGCAATTTTGTTTGGCTGAGGGCTAACCGAGAGACCTACCTGTGAGGGAAATTCGTGAAGGACATATCTGCAAATCCGGGAAAATACAGGCCCGGTA